TTCCGATCTCGACCTGCTTGTATTTCCAACAATCCAGCTAGTTGTTGGATTACTTTGTGTTTCACATCTGAATTTCAGGACGCGTTTACTGAAAATGTTTGTTCAGTATATTAATTTGTCAATATAGTTTTTTATACGGAATAGGTCGGAAATCGAGTGGATTACCTGATGGTAAGCAATCAGCGCTGCCCATGGAGACAAAATTAGTTACGAGTGCATTTATCGACCTTTTTGTTAGTTAGTTAATTAGATTTTTCGTTCTTTTTTCTCGTTTGGTAACAATGCAATGGAATCTCTTGTGCAGCCTTTTCGTTTGTTATTAAAGTTTCATTTTACAACTAATACATCGATGTATGGTGTTCTTCAAATTGAGATCGAATGCCTCTTATATATACGTAATCTATCCGTTATCCCTTGTTGTGGTCATTCAACTTCTTAGTTACTTTCTTTTTTCTTTTAAACGTAGGTTGGACTAGACACTAGGATTTTCTACTGAGTCGTGGGTGAGTTCACAGATATTCAATTTCACATAACATCACACCCAGACCCGAAACAACAATTTGTGGATCACACAAAGTTTTGTTGCGTGCGACCAAAACCAAACATGCAGTCGAAAACGTTTTATTATATATTTACGTTTGTATTCCAAAAAATGATGTTTTTAGTTACTTCAGAATATGTCCTGTTTATCCTCTGTTTACATCATTATGAAGCATTAACTTCTTAAAAAAATTGTGGATTTTTATTATTTTACTAGCTGTACTCGCGCGGTTCCACCCGCTTCTCGATGTTTTATAGCCATTCTCGATTAATGGACTAACAATCATAAAAAGAATGGTTCAATTCGAACCAGCAGATCCGGAAATAAGCACGTTCAAACAAACAAACAAAGTCTATAACTTTATAATATTAATATAAGTTAAGATTGTATAAATTTATCATTATTTCATTTCATTATTCATTATAACGCAAATCTCTTGTAGCCGTGATCTACGGCGTAGATAGTGAGTGGCTACGAGCTACGGCGTAGTAAATACTTACTGTAATAATATCTGTTGAATGGTTTATCATTACACTAGCTTTTGCCCGCGACGTTGTTCGCGTGGAAGAGCGACTTCCTGCAGATATTTGGGCTTAAAAAGTATCCTATGTTGTTTCTCGAGTTCCAAACTATGTTTGTACAAAATTTAACACAAATAGGTTCAGTAGTTTAGGCGTAAAAAAATTCAGACAGACAGAGTTACTTTCGCATTTATAATTTTAGTGTAGATGAGGTCTTAGTTTACTAATAGATTTGCTTGTAACTGACATAAAAGAAGCATTTGGTGTGTTATTGCAGCCTTCAATCTAGACCTCTATTTCAAACGTACGTCCAGACAAGCTTGGTACTTTTTTCCTAAAAGAGTCATAAAAATACATTACTCCTCATTAACTTATGCACTTTTAATATTTGAAGTATAAAAGGCGGCAAACTAGTAGCCTGATTACCTGATGGTAAGTAATCAGCGCCGCCTACAAGCCAGGAGTTACAAGTGCATTGCCTTGTAACTCCTGGCATTTGGGGGATGAGGGATTTGGAGATTTTGGGATTGGGAAGGGGAAAGATTGGGCCTCCGGTAACCTCACTCACACGGCGAAACATAACGCTGTGGTTGTTTCAGGTTTTCTATGGTACGAGTATCACTCCGGTAGAGCCGACCCATTCGTGCCGAAGCATGACAGAATGTACATATATAGCGAACTGATTTGTTAAGTCTCGAACTACTCAACAAAGTACATCTTATAACTTCAGGTATCCTTATAAGGTGGCCGATGGTGCTTATACTCTCCGCTTCAACAAAGTACAGACAAAATGCCTTCTGTATATTAATTTTCAATAGTTAACCGTCGCGTCGAGGATCGAAAAAGGACCTCCGTAAGCGCGGGTCTGCGGACGGCGAGAGACCTCGCCGCCAAACTAGAACCAGGCCCGAGCGTAAGGCGCGTAGTTCGCGCCTCAAAGAGCCAATAGATCATCACAGACGGGGTCCGATAGGGCTGATGTTCAGCCGAGGTCACGGGAATTTCGGCGTGCGCGCTTTGTGCCATAAGCTAAAGCTCGTAATCGCCTGACCTGCCTGTAAGAGTCTGACACTCTCCTAGAGCAGGAGAAGTTATGTGACTTTTCCCTCATCATCTGTTCTTTTAGGACTTAAGGTTTAGTAATTAAAAGGTATTTTTTAACATATACGCTTTAATTCAATTTTATGCTGATTACACAAATGAGCTTTATGTAAGTACGTAATATCAAAGTCACATTTTTTGAATTACAGAACAATTTACAACCTTACATCTTTATCGATTGGGCTTAATTTACAATGATCGCTGAACATGAAGTTATCGTAATCTGAAAGGCAGTTTCGCCAACTTGTTCGTATTCAAAAATAAAATAAAGATTCTGGAAATTCAATGTTGATTTAATTTTGTAATGATAATTAATTATTTTTGAGAAACAAGTTGGCGAAACCTTAATAATTATTATTAATAATACTTTTATTTAACATTTAATAATTAATGAAAAAATGATTTTTTAAAGACGGGATCCATTGTCAACTTTTGAAATAAAAAAAGGAATAAAAATATATATTGTATTCTTAAACAGATGACAACGAAAAAAGTAGTACTAAGATGATGTTTATATAATTACCACATCTTTTTTCATAATTATTAAACTGACGATTATTACCGAAATTTTAACATTGACTTGTTTAATTAATTAATTATTTTAATTATCTTATCGTATTGACAATATGTTTTGAACATTCGATTAGCACTTACCGCTAAATGACAAGCTCATATTTTTTTAAATAAATCGAGTAAAAGAGCAACAATAGATTGCAACAGAAATAATTATTTAATAAAACAATTATTCTCAAGAGGCCTCTTTTTAAAAGATGGGATTGTATGTTAAAAAGAAAAGTTATGGATATTTTCGTCATTTTTTGTGAATTTGATGAACAAAAAGCTATATTAAGTCAACAAATCACAAGAAAAATTGATAAATAACAATGCACTTATTTCTAGAAATTTTCGTTTTATATTCTTTATACTAAGTTTGGCAATATTTAAGTGATATTTTATTCTCAAAATGGCGTAAAAGTATAAGGCACGGTTTTAATATTTCTCTAAAATTACTTAAATATAGAAGGACGTAAAACCAGCTAATTTTATTATCTAAGTGGTTAGTTAGTCGCGAAAAAAAGTCCTGCTTTGGCACTTTTTCAGTTCAAATAGGTATCATTTTAAGAAAAAAAAATTAACAAAACAAAGGGTTTTCGTTTCCTCCATTGATATGTTTTAATAATTGGAATTTCATATGACAGGAAGACTAAGGAAAAATAAAAGGAACAAAAAAATAAAACAAAAGAAATAATTATTAGGTTTTTTATTTTCGAAATGTAACAATAGACCTTTTTTGTAAATATAAAATCGTATTTCGTGATTGGATGGACTTTTGAACTTGAAGAAATAATGAAAAAAAAAATATGACAGTCAGTCAATATTTAAAGGGAACCATCTCAATTGTTACAAATTCGATTCAAAAGAAAATAATAATAGAAAATAATTAAGTATCTTAATAACTTAAAGAATAAAATTAATAAAACTTTGGCATGTGAATATTATGACCGATTAAATTTTGGGGTTGAAACGCTATTAATGTAAAAAATACAATTAGGTACAATATATTATTTACATAGAATCAAGATGGACATAAATTAAAATTAATTGAACTTATTTTTATTGTCAGTTCGCGATTTGAGTATTATTATTTTCTTATTTACATCGTAAAAATGCAGAGAATAAGTAACTTACGAGTAAAAATTTACAAAATAATAATAAAAACCGTAAATATGTATACAGTTACACATTTTTTTTGTAAAAAATTACAATTTACAGATTATAAATGACAGTCGTTTAATATTTGACACAATACGTAATGGGGTCTTTTTTTATATTAAATTGAAAAAAATTAAGATACAAATTTAAAAGAAATTGCAAACGCAAAATAATGTAAGTAACATTAATGTAAATTACAAAATATCTCGAAATCAACGAGAACAAATCGTCAGGAACAACTTTATAAGTTTCGAAAACCATTTCTAACTACGAAAATGTATTCAAACATTTCCTAGAGAACAATTTATTTTAATTAAAAACGACGACAGGACAAAATTCAAAATTTTTCCCGAATTAATAATTTCATGTTTTTTATTTTAATTAATTCAAAAATCGTATTTTTATAACAATCATAATTATCTTAAAAACTTAATTACGAGAGATCCTTTTATGGAATCAATAATAATTTGGATTCGCATACCGATAGTTTGTTCGACAATTTGTAGATAATATTAAACTTTGAAATTGAAACAACCCATTTCATAACTTTATCGTTTCGAACCTGACACAAACACTCGAGAACACGAATCGATTCTTAATTACAATTTACGCTAACACCTAAGTCATTTTTACAATGCAGCAAAGTCCACCACTCGGTTGCTTCATCAAATTGTCAAACAGAACTAGACCCAGCCTTTAAAAGAAAAATTAAAAGAATTAAATCGTACATTAAACCCTAAATGTATTATTATCTAAAATGATTTTACAATTGGACATTGAAAAAATCATATTTTTTTTTTGTTCGCTTATGTCATTTGGACGTATTACCTATTATATTTTGATAAGTCAGTCAAACGTTTTAATACAACCCGGGCAACCCAAATACTAATTCGGGCAACATTGTCATATCTATCTACGCGATGGACACTAATTGTTTGAAAGTTCGTTCTTGTATCACATTCAATTATTTTAAATCTATCTACAATTTTTATCTAGTCCGTTTATTTACACTTTCACTTCAAAGTTTTCACCACTCATAGCCGACTTTTAGTTTTTCACACTTTGTAATTTTAGTTTTTTATACTTTACACTTTTAGTTACACTTTTTAGTTTTAGTTTGTCACTTAGACCACGTGGGTCTCACTTCTTTTGTTGAACGACTCGTCGATGGTAACATTTTGTTTCTTGTTTTCTTTTTTAATGGTCCCGTACTGCGGGACGTCGGAAGTTAAATTCTGTACTGTTAATATCTGATTGGAGTTTTGTGGCGTGCTCGAAGATATGGGGCTACCATACTGGTTGCCGTATTTGTGACGTGACGGGTCCTTTAAGATCGACTGAGGTTGCTTCGGCGCTGGAGTCTGGACTAAGTGCTGTAACAAAGAGGTTTATTAGAAAAAAAGTTTAGAAAGCGACTTCAAAGTCTTATGAATGTCTAGATTCCTTTTTTTTTCTGTGACCTATTTAAAATTCGTAGAAATGTTCGAGTATTTATTTTTCGACGCTCATTTAAATTCGAGCTAAAGACTATACTTCCAAGCTTGCGTCATTAGTAGCCTTAAAATATGAAATTTACAAATAAATACTCCGTTTCAATTAAGCCCAATAGAAATTGAATCACGTATTTTCTTATGGCATTTACACAATTACGTTTTGGGCGTAAAATGACAAAGTTTTCGACAAAAAGTTGTAAGATTTTCGGGACCATTGAAAAGTTTACGAAGATTGGAATTTCAAAGCTCTGCTGTGGGATGGGGAATTTGTTGTTAATTAATCTTAAATTATGAGATTGTTCATGCCTAACTGGTTGCGTAAGAGTATTATAAGCGTTCAGAATTACCCTCCATCCACAACATCAAAGAATGTCACTCGCCTGTTTCGTGGTATGTTTTACTCTTAGAAATTTTGATGTGAATTCTTAATGGTGACGGCCATATTTTTTAAGCATTTTTTTTCTTGTTCCAAATACATGTAACGTGTAGAAATAATAATTTTGAAATTCGAACCGATAATTAGGTACGTTTAAACGTTATATTATCTGTTCGATTTTAAAAATTGAATTTTTTTCCAGCCATATTATTTTTTTATTCCTTTTCACAACATGTTTTGTAAAAGTATGACATCTTTTACTGCTTGATGACTTTTATATTAAAACCACATATTTCTTTCTTCCTCTATATATTTACTCAAGCTCTATATAAACTAAACAGTACGTAAACAGTACAATGGTACATTATACAGTGCGGTGCTAGGCAGGGGTGCGATCCGTCACAATTTGTTCCCATATTTAGGTCAGGAACATAAGATACCACTATTTGCTACCATTTGTTTGCAAGATCTATGGGGTAAGACACACTTTTGTTGATAGTGGTTTTCAAGAAAACGGAATATACAACATTCAACATACATACGCGTTATTGTGTATATCAAAATAGCACAACATTGATGTGTCAGTTTGTAGAAAATAAGTCTATTATTTAATATTGTATTTCAATATCATATTTTTTGTATATACCTATATAATTAAAATCAAGTATTTTTTTTTTGTTTTGTAACAGATAAAGATAGATATTGAATTAACTCTGTCATTTAGCCGTGGTGGCGCGGAGGTTAATGAGCCCGCTTCTCATGCCTGAGGGTGTGGGTTCGAAACCTGGCAAGAACCAATGTGACTTTTTCCAATTTGTATGTCGTCGGCTTAGTGCAAGAACGCATTAACTGCAAGCCATTCATTCAGTCATTTGCTGCCTATAAGTGCCTACTGCTAAGCAAGAGCCTCTTCTTACACGGAGAAGGTTTGAGCATAAATCATCACGCTTGCTCAACGCAGATTGGCGATTTCAAACTTATAATTAGAAATTATAATTCCAGGTTTCCTCACGATGTTTTCCTTCACCGTATGTCAGTGGTGTCTAAATAATCATAGAAGGTACATATGACTCGAAAAGTCACATTGGTACTTGCCAGGTTTCGAACCTCACCCTCATAAATGAGAAGGGGTTTCTTAACACCACCACCACCACCCTAGACTTATTGCCTTGTCAGAAATATAATCGAAATGTTTGACCTGTGGAGGATGATAACCCTATATTAATTAAGTACCTACAGCTTAATTTTTAACTCTATTTATGTACCTGTTTATTTGTATACTCTTCTGCAAACATTGTAAAAAAGGTATTTTTACCTGTGCACAACTACCAGGGTGTAATACAGTGACGTCAGGTGGAGGGACGGCGGCCATCTTGTCCATCCTCTGCCGCCTCAGCGTGCCTCCGGCTGACTGTCGATCTAAAGATAAAATTCTTTACTGTTTAATGTATCTGAGCTCTTTTACAGCTAATTGGATTTAATTATGGACAATTATGATAGTGTTTTCTCTTGTGGAATATGCTACGAGTATTTTCTATGTATTTAGTGTCTGGTTTTGCCGGTGCATTTATTAATAAAACCTTCTATACTTTTATTCAAAATGCTTGGTGTGAGAATTGAAGAATTGAATTCTTCAAATGCGTTATAGCTTAAGGACGTTTTATATGGTGTAGTTTCAGAACGTCACAGAATATATATTTGTATTACATACACATGTACATGCAAATTTGAACGTACCCAATAGTTTTAATACAAAAAGAAATTAAATTTAGAAATTTCCTTTTAAGTTTAGTAAGTAAATCCTTTTTGAATAATTAATCTCTAAAGAGTGGGATAAGTTATACTTTTAGCACTTTCATATCGGATCAACTGGAGTGATACCACGGATTGACAGACAGAATACCCGACGTCAACCAACACTTTTATTGTATGTTGCTTTGAGTTAATTGAGTACAGCAACAAAAGGCCAGCAACGTACTTGTAACTCCTTAAGTAATGCTTGCGCCCATGTGTGGCGTCAATTGCTTACCATCAGGGAATCGCGTTTGTCACCAAAACCAAACTAAAGTCTAGCGTCTCTATATGTATATTAACCACCACCTTAAAATAAACCAATAAACAAAACTACAGCGTATGTAGAACTGTATGTATATAGTGTAAAACATGCAGTAAGTTCAAAATGGTACAACAACTTACCATCAAGAGCGTAGCTGTGTGGGGGGCTGGCCATGTGTGATGGGGAGCTGGATGGTAACCCCCCGTTCATGAGGTGAGGCTTCGGTAGTGGCTGGCCCCCGTACTGCTGTGGTGGGGTGGGAGTTCGACCCTGCTGCTGTAGGGGAAAAAAAGATAAATGAAGGTTATAATTTGGTTTGATCTCTTTTCAACTTTTGACTGCACGGTTGGCGCAGTGGCTTGGCAACTGGCTGCTTTACAACGTGTCGCGGATTCGATTCCTGCACGGAACAACACTTTGTGTGATCCACAAATTGTTGTTTCGGGTCTGGGTGGGATGTGTATGTGTATTTGAATGTTTGTAAACGCACCCACAACACAGGAGAAAATCCTAGTGTTAGGCTACGTTTAAAAAAAATTCTGATTAAATTTTCGTGGTCACCATACTTGATTAGAAAAATAAACGAAGAATTTTGGGTAAAATTTTCAGTAACAAATAAATGTGTTTCTTTGCGCTTTTCGTATTTTTTTATTCGAGATTTTTTTATAGTTTGGTTTCGTGTTTGTTCAATCCATAATCTTATAATCTCAACATAAAATCTTTTTAACAAAACAACATAACCGGCTAGGTCCTCCAGCTAGGTGGACTGACAGTGGTTGGATGAGAAGAGCTGAACATCGAGTTCAATGGCGTATGTCCAGCAGTGGACGCAATCAATCTTATGATGTTGATGATGATGATGATGATGATGATGATGATGAAAACAACTTACCTGTTGTAAATATTCTCCAATCAATGGCGGATAGGACAAGTATCGGTCAGACGCCATGTTGTAATACGAGCCATCCAACGGGGGCATAGGACTCGGAGCTGGCACGTAATTCTGCTTGCCTGGTACCAAGAAATAGATAACGTTAAAAAAATAGTATATTAGTAAGCGTTTTGCTTCGTTAAAGTCTAAGTCAAATTCAAAGTCAAAAAGAAACAAAAACAGCTATGTAAAGTTATCTCGTCAAATGGTATGTAACGAGTTAAACATCATTGTCATATGATTTCTTAACTTCTAATATATTAGGTTGTAATAAGAATTGACATAGGAATACAATTTATTTTTTGATACTGCTAAATTATATGTATGCCGCAGTCAAATAGCTTAATCAGCCTCACAATTAACGTTCTAGCCTGTTTCAATCAATCAATCAAACATTTATTGTGGTAGCAGTTGTTTAATAAATGATATCGTAGAACAACTCTCGTAGTTGTTTATTTGTGATGGCAATTCGATTTGGTCGCAGTTAGCATAACCTAATGTTCTAACGTACAACTCTGGTAGGGACGCGGTTCTCATGACAATTCCTTAACCTTTCAACTTACAGCCGTTATGAGAATTTCAATCAAATGAATGGCTAATGGTCAACTGATTGATTGAACGGCTATTCAAAAAAAGGAGGAGGTTCTCAATTCGATTGTTCAAGGGATTGTTGCCCATTTGTATTTCCTTGCCTGGGCTGGCACCGACACCAAAAATAAGTAATAAATTTTGAATATTTGCAAAATATTAATGTCAAATAAGTTTACCTATAAATTAAGTTTTTTTTACAGCAATTCACATTTTTATTTTTAACTTTTTAGTTTAGGAACTTTTATCGCTTGACTTTTTTTGAAGGCGTTTTTTTTTTGTAAAAATGTTTAACTAGTTGGCTTAGACATATTACAAATGTTGTACTATAATATTGTATATCTGAAAAACCTTTTTTATGATCAAAAGTAGGATAATTACTTAAGTAAATTATGAATTACAATTTGAATAATTTTCTAAATATTATCTTACCTGTACTTCTGCCTAGCGTACTATGTCCCGTGATATCCTTATGTCTGTGAGGATGTGGCAGTGTCCTGGCGTGGTCTCCATCATATACCGCATAGTTAGGAGGAGGATAGTCCAAAGGTGGTGGAATCACTAGACCCTGATCATCCATTAAGAAGGCATCCGACGTCTAGAGGAAAATATATTTCATTTAATAAAAACAATAATTATTATAAAATTTTTCATTGTTAATTTGAAATGTATTCAGATAAAAAAAAACCCGCTAATTAATATGTCTGCAGAGGTTTACGGAGAAAAGACAAATTTTTGATAAGTTTAAAAGTTTTGTTTTTTTTTACCATTAAGTGGATATCAAAGCAGTTTTTTCCATCCATACAAATATTGATGAACAATTGCAGTTACTTAGCAGTTAGCAGTCAGAAACTTAACAGACTGAAAAACTTATCAAAGACTACCATAAAGTGTAACAATTGTCCATTGCAACATTTAAAAGAAGAATCATTAAAGTCAAACTCAGAAAAGTTTTGAAAATGATATACAGAAAAGACGCATCACAGCGACGCGCACGCTACTCATGAATAAGAGTCCCGTCGTGACTTGAAACTAGTCGAGCTTTTCTTAGTTAATTCGCAAGAATAAGTCGTAAATTATATCACGGTAGCTACTATTCAGAAGAAAACTAGAATTATCTTACCTGACTCAACATATGCCTAGTAGGCATCGATGGAACCTCAGGTATCGGCGGTGGTTGCCTGTCATCCGTGCCCTCATCTTGAGAATAAGTTTCCGACTTCTCAGAGACAGAGCTCAGGGTCTCGCCCGTCATAGTATCGTTGTAAGATGATGGGGCGTACATCTCTATTGTGGCTGATTTTGATGCTTGACCAGCTTGTTCTGTTGAGGATTGGGGTCATGTTAGAGATATGGTTGTGTGATTTGAGCTTAGACTGGGTATTTTGTTTTTTATCTTGAAATCGTAGTCAAACATAATATTTGGAATTTCCTTCTTTTTTTAGCTATAAAGGAGTTCTTGGTACAATTGTTAATGAAAAACAAAACTGACGAAAATAAAAATACCCTTTAGTATAAATACTGAATGTTACTTTTTGCTACCTAGTTCAAAATATAGTTAATGTTAAAATTACAGCTGAAATATTTCAATAATATTTTAGAGTCGCTTACTCGTCAACTCCCATCCAGCTTCACCTGCTTAACCTCTATAGATCTAAGCGTATTGATTTATAATTCAATTTGAACTGGTAGTTCCAGAGATTAGCGCGCTTAAGCAAATAAACAAACTCTTCAGCTTTATAATAAGTTAAAGAATAGTTAAATGAGACATGCGAAAATTTTTGTATTGGTCACAATTATTGAACACAGTGACTATAGAACTTTATCTTACACAACCACACAAATTATGTAGAATTTTCCTTAAACAAAATATATATGCTGGTAATAAAAGTAGGTACCTAATTGTAATACAATAACAAATCGCTATAAGTACAACTCTAATTAGCAGCGTTAAAATGTAATCAATGCTTCGTAAATGTAATTTCATTACACCATCGGAGCTAATGGAAGAAAAATACATTTCGGTTCAATGAGTAATTAAAGAAAATGAGTATGGTTGAGGCTTCGTTTCGTTCGTGTGTTATATTATTCAGTATTGTATGTGTTGTATAATGGTTGGATGTTATTTTATTCTTTAATTAGCTATATTTTCCTCTGCCTGAAGTGCCCATTGCTGAGCAAAGGCCTCTTCTCACACGGCGAAGGTTGGAGCATTAGTCGTCAAGCTTGCTCAAAGATTGGCGATTTCAAACTTATTAGTAGAAAAAGAAATTATTAGTCCAGGATTTTTCTTCGCTGTTTGTGTTTAACTCGGAAAAAGGCATATTGGTATTACTGGTTTCGAATCAACATGAAAAGCGGTGCATCAAAATGTGGGCTTCCAAGACATTTAAACCCTAGAAGGGTTAAAATGTAGTTTTTTTTGTGTTGTGTTAAAGTAAGTCATTTTTATATTTCTACTCGATGTTTAATGTTAATGAGATGCAAAATACTGATACATCAAATTTAGCAATACCATGGTGTATTTTCTTTTCAATTCATAGTATAAAACAAAGTCTGACTGTCCCTAAATAACTTATATTTATACCTTTTAAACTACGACATTTTTGAGATATAATTATTAACGGGTTTAATTAGAATTATTAGTGTTTGCTCAGACAAAGTCGCAGGCAGGAAACTAGTAGGTAAAAAAAATATTTATGATTAACAATTCCTTGCTTTAAGCAAATACCGATGACGACTTGTCAAGAAATAATTTACAAGACAGACTAAATGCCTTAAGGAAAATTTCTTCAAAAATGGTTTTTAATGTTCTATTTATATCTGTTTAATATAATTATACAAAACTCCTACTCACAAATATAATCGCTCCTGTGAGTGGAATATTTTGAAGAATACAAGTTTCTTCTTACGAAGTCATTAATTTAAAACAAGGGTTATGTTTTAACAAGGTCGAACTAATTAACTAAAATAAGGGGGATTTTGTTGAAAATGTCACGTTATTATGTTCGGTAACCTACGGATTTATAGAGTTTTTGCCCTTCTGGGAATTGTTAGACTGAAGCTTGTAATGTCTATTGTTACTGCGTGTAGGTCATTTGTAAGCGTTAAGTTCTTTAAATTATGTTTCTTTAAGTATATTTATAAAATTTTCCTTCATTTTAAGAATTCATTTCGTTTTCAGGACAGTGTAGGAAGAAAAATATATTTCTATTTTTATATTCGTCAGTTTTGTTTTATTGTAAGTATAATAAGGTACACATGTAGGTACATGCTTGTGTATAATAATTAATTTTACTCTATGAAATTAACGTGATCTGCGAAACAAACCTAGATGAAAATCACAAAAATAATTTTTGCTACAAATTATTTGAATCTTTAATTAAATTTACTAAACGAGACTTAAGACTTCAAGTAATCGATGAATATGTAATAAAACACTACTTCTATAGACACACAACATTGAAAACAAAAGAAAATTACAGAGAAAAAAGCAAGAAAAAAATACAAGAAACTTACCTTTTAGACGTCTAGATCGTCTTTTCAACACAAAACAAGCAACCAAAGCAGCATTTATCATGACTAGTATAACTCCAGTGATCGACACGTAAATGACTACAGATTTTGATACATCAGCAGTTTCAACAAATTCTGTAGACACAACATTCAGCTCGCCTACCTCTGAAGAAGCTTTGGAAGGAGAAAAAAATAAAAATAATTAGCAAAAGAAAAAAATAAATGAATGCCTAGGTGAAAGAGATGACTGGTCTAGTGTCAGAGATAAATAATTCTCTCAAGTACTATCATTTGTAGTTGCTTTATTAGTTAAGTTTTCTTTGTTTAGTTTCATATCTGTTAATTAATTTCTTTCAGTATTTTAAGTAGCAATGTCATCGTTCTCTATTTGAAGCGTTGAAACAATAGTGACATTTTTCCTCACTATATTTCCTTCAACATTTTCGTCTACAGAAATAAAAAATGAGTTTATTTTGTCTTCAGAATTTATTGTGTAACTGCTATCAATTGTAGCTGAAAATACTCGGTAACAATATTCATGTACGAGTTAGTCTTTGAGTGAACTTTTCACGTCGCCCTTGACTCTAATGTAATTTTCACGGTCGCTCTTTGTAACTGAAAGCTCCAAGCTTTCATCTCAGCAGATATGCTTTTAATGTAACTATTGAAGCGTCTCTCTCCACATTTTTTTGTTTTACGTTTAAAACATTTTATTGTGAAATGGAAATAGCTTTTAGTGAAATTTAAATTGAGAACTGTAATATTTTTGTGGTCGAGTGTATGATATTTGAATATAAACATCAAATGTATTTTTTTTTTATTTAAAAAATAAAAAGTGAATGAAACTACAAATGCAAATCTACTGACACATAACCAAAAACATCTAAATACACAAAAGATAAATTAAACCTTAAACGCTAACATTTAGGTTTCAAAATTAAATCCAAACCTCGGATCCTCTTATTGGTCCTTTTATGAAGACAGAATCCGATCAGCAATACATTTAGAAGTATTAATGCTGTTCCAACAATTGTACCAGTGATGATGAATACTCCTGGTACATTGTAATTATATTCTTCAGAAGACGATTGTATTGATGATGGGATCATGTCTAAGCAGCGTGGAAACATTTGTTAATTATTAGTTTAGGTTTGAATAATATTGGTCCCAAAATGATTCCTTTAGGAACCCTCGTTGCTTGGTCAAAATTATCAACAATTTTGTCTCTTTGATAATGAAAGGTATCGAACCTTTTAATGAAGTTAAGTTATAACTTCAATTTACTTTAACAATAATTTGAAATTTGATACAAGACTTGAATGTTTAAGAGACAAATTGAAATGCGTTACGTATTGCCAGTTTAACATCAAATAATTCTGATATCGTCAGATTTCATCGTCGAATCGTTATTAAAATCAGAATGTAATTTTATCTTTGATCTTATATTGAAATATTCTTCTTATACTAATAACAAATTAAATAATATAAACTTACTCAGTGTAGTAACTTTGGTATCATCTGGTCTGTATTTGCTTTGTCCAATTTTGTTAATTGCCATTACAGAGAAAACGTAGTCAGTATTGCGGTCAAGACCTCCAATAGTAAATGTGGTTGCATTTCTTGGCACCACGTCTTCATATTTATAAGATTCTTCAAAGACTCTCCTAAAATAAGTATTTTTATTAGCTTTATTGCTTTAAATTTTTATGAAAATTCTAAGCAAACGTATGTCATATTGTCATATCTTTGTAACTAAAAATACTTAACCAATTATTTTTTTATTCACAGAAAAATAAAGTAATTTAGATAATTGAATTCTCACCTGTATCGTACTCTAAACCAGGACGGCAGTCCGCCATCAAATCCAGGGACCCATTGCAGCGTCACAGAATTGTGGGTCACATTCGTCACAATTAATGATATTACTTGATCTAGAACAAAAGAGGGTCAAAATATATAATCATATGAATTGACGTATAGGTAAAGGTGATCTATGTAGATTAATACTCCTATGCAGTTTTAATATTCCTTCCAAATGTTTAATAGCATTCTCTTACCTGGGGCGCTAGTGATATCCAGTTTCACGGATGTGGTGGAAAATCCCAAGTCATTTCTGGCACCGCATTCATAGGACCCGTAGTCTGAGGAGCTGACGTCATTGATGAGGAGCACCGAAGTATAAGTCACAGGATCTAGTTTGTGGTACTCAGCGAAATACTTGGTCGAAGTGTTGACTGGTAATTTGGCACCGTTCTTGGACCACGTGAAGTTTGGTGCTGGGGCTGCTCGGCACCTTGAGAAAGTCATAACAATTTAGTGATGTGTATATAGATTACAAAATCGCTTTACTATTTATGTCTCGATGGGCCATACATTCAACACAACAGCGAATTGTTATTTCGAATTTTTTTTAGTTACTTTTTATTTAATAACTTAAAATACACAACTTACTTGCACGTTAATCTTCCAACTTGTCCAACGTTAGAAGCTGATTTCATCAAACTGGGAGAGCTGTCCAATTCAGGCTTAAACTTCACCACTAGCATAACATCTTGCCTGGTTTCCCCTCCAATGCCATTGTCCACCACACATTGGAAGTTGCCCACATCTTCCCTCGTCGCTTGTTTTACAACTAAAGTACTTGTAAGGTTACGAGGTTCAAAAGTAACCTGACTAGGGTTAATATTGTATCCTTGGCGTTCCCAACGTATATTATCTGCTGTTAAGGGGTTACCTAGAAAGAGAAAACATGTTTTAGCGATTTTTGCAATGGGTAGATGGCGCTTCTGTAGAGTTACGTCCTGAGATTCGAAGGGTTGTTTTTTTCAGTAATGTTTTTATAATAGTCGATTTGCATTAAAATTTTGAATTGCTCTTGGTATTATCCTTATTACAAGTAGTAAGAAATACGTATAATTAACTTTGAACTATCTAACTATTGTACTTACCGTTAGCAGTACAAGACAACATGGCGTCCTGATTGGGGCTGACTACTTCATGCAGAGCCACAGATTTGATGCTTGCTGGATCTGCAAAAGAATATTAATTGTATTTTCTTCTCACTACAACTGTAATGTCAATAACAACTGAACAGGATTCTAATGAATTCAGGGATTCAATTCGGTAACTTAGTTGATGTTAGATGACGTTCGTGGGTAGAGATACGAAATAGTAATACTAATAGATATCATGATATATTTATTACTAAATTTTAAAAGAAGGATTTAATTTTCATCTAGTTCTAGGTAGACAAGCAAATCAATTGTAAATAACATTGCCATTATTATTTTTTACATAAAATAATTCCCTTGGTACCACAAAAAGATATTTTCTTTCAATAAGAATGTAATCTGACAACGTACTGAAACATTCTGTCCGAGAGACATCTTCGACATGTATCTGCCAATATTTGGTAGTTACAGATCAATTTCGCTCAATGACTTATGTAGGTACATCATACAAAAATAATAACTAAGTCTCGTAGATTGTTAAACAAAAACTCGCCGTATCGTGTTTATTTTTAGGTTAATTTTTGGATTGTATATATTTTTTTTCGTAGTCCACAAATTGGCTACACAAATTTTACTTGTTGTTTTTGAAGGTAGCTAGCTATAATTTAATTTAAAACTTGTGTCTTTTATGGGAAAGGTGGGCCAACGAGAAAATAGATTACCTGATGGTATGCAATCAGCGCCGTTCATGGACACTCCCTAGACCAGAGGAGTTACAAGTGCGCTGCCGGCCTTTTTAGGGTTATTAGAGATTTAAGGACAGGGTTTTTTTTGGTTTAAGTCGACAAACGAGCAGACAATTAACTGATGGTAAGCAATCGGCGCCGCCCATGGACACCCGCAACACCAAAAGAGTTACGAGTGCGTTGCCGGCCTTTTTTTGGGGATAGGGGTTGCGGATATAAGGATCGGGAAGGGATAGGGGAAGGGGCGGGATTGGGCCTCCGGTAACCTCAACCGGGTGTGTGGAGTGTTGAGGATAGAGGAAGATTGATCCTTCAATAACCTTACTCACACGACGAAAGACAACATAAGTCTTGTTTCACGCCGGTATTCCGTAAGACCACTCCGGCCGAGTTGGCTCATTCGTGCCCAAACATGACACTCTCACATGTTACTTAGTGAGAAATAATATTATATTACCGAGAATATTATAATGAAAAACCTAATAATAATTCGCACGGCCTATCGACTATAGAATAGAAGCAACCCTTCAAACAACATTAAATTTCCTGTTTCCATAAACGAATTAACTATTTAAGAAAATATTGTTAAGTTGAGGGAGGCCCATTAGCTAAAGAGGTGCCTTGGAAAATACTTTAATTTGTAAGTCTTGCAACATTGATCGGTACATCGAGGACAATGCTTGATCAATGATTCTCTTTGGTAAGTTAACAAGTTTAATGTACGTTCATTAAGAGCTAATAGCTAGGAGCCTATCGTCTCAAAGGTTCGGCTGCTAAACTTATATTAAAATGGCAGAGTTAATGCTACAGTACCTGTGTTACTATTTTGTAACAATTTTCGGGCTTAAATGGTGATTTTGCTACTGTTAATGTTTTACGAAGTAGTCTTAAAGTAATTCGGGGTGATTTTAAAGATGTTTTTGCTGGTGTAACACCAATTTGATTTCGTTTAGTGTTGTTAAAATCCTGTTTAAGACCTCTGAATAGTCGAAAATACTGCATGTGTTCTTAATCTTTGGTTTTTTTAATACATTTATCTATATTTAAAGTACAATAACGGACTACTTTTTTTTGGCTAGCTACGAATATTGAAGGCATTTTTTTTCAGGGTTATACAGAGACAGGTCTTAAGTAAGTGCGTCAACTATAAAAAAGAAAGTATAGTTGAGTACCAAAAATTTAATAAATATCCTAATGCTATATAATTATATGTATTTCTAACTGATATAAGCATATGTACTAAACATAATACATCTGGTTTCAACAATTTTACGATGACGATACAAGTTGACGATGTTCTAAGTTGATTTTTCTTATATTAAATTATTTCTTTTTATATGAATGACTCCATCCTTTTATGACACTTAAAAATGAATTCAAACAGACAGATATACATTTTTATAATTATTAATATTATACTTACAATGAACGGACACGCTGATATTGGCGACGGCAGCTCCCTGAGAGTTGACAGCTTCACACGTGTACACTCCAGCGTCATGCCGAGATAGTTTCGTCATGTTCAACATACTACCCTCCGATATTATTCTGTCATCTGAATGGAAAAAAAACATAATTAATCAACTGAATAATATCATACAGAAAAAAACATTGTAAAGTTAGGTTCCGCTAAAAGATCTATTTGATGGTGATGAATAGATTCAAGACTGAGGTTCCAGTTTAAATAAGTTGGAATTTATCAGATTATCCTTAGAAGGAGATGGGACGAACTTGACCCTTGCTTTGCCCTGCAGTGCAACAAAAACGTGTCAAACAATATGATGACAGTTTCATGGCTAAAAGCCTTGATAAACACATAAGCAGATTTACATTAGAAGATTGGGTCAAGAACCTGATGCAGAAAGCTGTACTTCTAGACACGGCGCGCATTGTCCGGAGATTCCTTTCTCTGGAGCCCTGACCACCGTTTGCTTGGAACCCTCCCGTTACCGGTGGGATATTGCTTTTTATATTTTTGAAGTGTTTCTTTTTTTAGAAAATATTTCGAAATGTAAATATCAAGTTGAAAAGTAAATACATGACAATAATAATGAAATTATTTGAGAAGGCTGCTAAGTGGACTCTCTTATTTACACGTATACAGTTGGCTAGTATTTTAAACTTAAATACATAGATGATGGAGTACATAACTGATGCAGCATTTATTGGCAATATGTTTGTGTCTGTCGTTGGTTACGTTTGAAACTCAATAGACCGCATTTGTACTGGTTATACAAATAACTGTTTGTTCATTTCCTAAACAGTGCCTTGGTTATTCAAACCTTTGTGCATTGGTTATTCAAATCTATTTGTTTATTCATTATTTTGTTATTATTTACTGTTTTAGTAATTGAATTTTGTTTTTGATAAAACTATCGTGAGACATATTATTCAAGTTCTACTAGTTTTAAGTCACAAAGGGACTCTTATTCATAAGCAGCGTGGTTCTATTCATTTATATCGTTCAATTAGTCTCCTTTACAAACAACACATGCTAAAGTATTATTGACCCCAATATTGGACTCATTCTGTTTCAATAACACGGGACACGTATAATAACTGTTTAAAATATGGCTTTTTCGAAAATCTGCAATGATTTCCCCCGCCATATCCCGAGAGAGAGTGTCAGGCTCTTACTGGCTAAAAATCATCCCGTTCCTTCTGCTCTGGGCCGAGGTCGCGGTGACTCATTGCGCTTAACCCGCAACCCTGGCTGAACATCAGCTCTATAGGGTCCCGTCTGTGGTGGTCTATTGGCTCTTTGAGACGAGATGAGCGGAACGCTATGCGCCATCCGCTCAGTCCCGAAACCCTGGCTTGATATTATTCTAATTGCTTTATTCAATAAAATTATGTTTAAAACAGTAATGATGATGTGAATGAATCAAAACACGTTTGTTTCATGTTTTACTGTCAATAGGTTAATTAGGATTAATTAAAAGCTAAATACAAATAGTTGTTTGCTGTAATTATTTGGTTTGTAAACTTTTGTATGCATCTACTATTATTGGACACTAAATAATCACATTTATTTTTGTTAGAGCTATTTTTGCTGCAGGGAATCATAGCCTTTAATAATGACATGTTGCGCATTCAATTTAGAACCTTATCTATACTCGGAATTTTAATTCCATTCCAGATTTGACAATTTCAGGGTTGCAACGTTATGACACGTACTAAATAGGGACGTTGCGAAATTATTCGATATGGAAATCGAATATTTCTGAATCGATTCCTCTCGTTTATAATTTTACTATCGTAAACAAAGTTTATCAGGAAATAAAATATTTCTGAACCGATAATTTCGTTTTGACAATTAATTAACGATCTGAGACTTTTCTTTTGTAATTGTGTGTGAAATTAATAAAAAATGTGATCATGAAGGAACATGAAAAATAAAACAGACATTTTATAAATTGTCGCCGTCATTGCTATCGCTATCGTTGTTACGTTCTGTAACATTTATTATGAATTGTGCCTGTGATATTTATTGTCAATTAACATATCTAGCTTACTCATTTTTTTCTCTTCTTTGACAACATGGGATACGCACTTAGACCATTCGGTAGCCGTAATTTTTTGAATGCCTTCCTGAAACTGATTCACTGATTGTTTATCGATTTTTGTGTTCATCACTACACTGTTATATGTGGTATCATTATTTCACAAAATGACAGCAGGTCATGTCAAATCAGGAATCGAATTAAAATTCTGACTATAGTACTGATTACAAAGTTTATTTTTCAACTACTTACTTCCAGTGCTGTAAGATGATTGTGCTATGGGCAGTCCATCCTTAGTCCACGTGTAGGTGATGCTACTAGGGTTACCATCAGCTCGGAGAACTATGATCAGAGGCTCGTTCTCAACTCCAACTGTTGTATATGGGGTAGTCTCATCGAAAATTGGCGCATCTGTGGAGAAGGTGAGAGTTAGATTCCAAGTCTTAAGTGTAAAGTATTACGTTTGAATTTTGATTGAGACGAATTTGTAACAGTCTATTGTTCGACTACGACTTTTGTTGTAGAATTGACTTCGATTTTGTTTCAGTATTTCCTCTCATAGTAGTCAGACAAAAATAATCCTTTTATTTACATTCTTAAATGAAATATTTTAACGTGTATATATTTTGTAATCTATGTACAGAAATAAATAGGTACTTCGTCATTTTTATGATTAGGTATATTGCAAACTAGCTTTCACCCGCAGTTTCGCCCGCGTAGTGGTGGATAAAAGGCAGCCTATGTGCGAATACACGCTATCACTTAACTACATAGTACATACCAAATTTCAAACAAATCGTTACAGCCATTATTCCGTCAAAGAATAACAAACATACATACATCTGTCCATTCTCACAAACTCAATCATATTAAATTATAATTTTAATCCATCAAACTCCAAGGGAACACCGGCTTTTGCGTACCTATTTTTCTTTTATTTAGTCTCGAATTACTACAATTATTGGAAGGTTGAAATACAGCTTCTGACTTACATAAAACTTTAAGGGGCAGTGCATCGTGGACGCTCCTCTGCAGAGCCTCGTTCATAGCCTGACAGGTGTAGACTGCTCCATTAAGGTCCTTGGTGATGGTCAGCTTCAGCTCTATCGTGGACACCGTACCTCCGTGGAGACCTTTTTTCTGTTGCATTGGTAGACCTGGGGATTACAGACGGTTTTTAATATTATTGTTTTTAAAGTAACGTTTTGGCTACGGGGACTTTTGTTTAGTAGTTGACGTCTTTTCATTGATAATGATAATGTTAAAATATCAGTTCGCTTCCAACCAGGTGAACACCAAGTCCTGGACCTTTGGAAGGTGTACGAGGGGCAAAGCCAATTCTCAGAGGCCCTTTATTCCAGATAGATGTTTAAATATGATCATCTATTAATCGGTCTTTCCCTATATTGCCGTATAGCATGAAAAAATTTAAACGATTTTTTTTATTTGAAATGCGATGAAAATGTAACACTAATCAATAAACAAATGACTACTTTTGGAAAAATAATCCCATGTTTTTAAAACAAAATTAATTAGCCTTAGCCTAACAAAAACTATTTTGATTCGAAATGGCCAGTACTGCAGAACGGCAATTTCATAGGTATAGATCTATTTATAAAAATGAATCGCGAAATGTGTTGGTAAGCGCATAACTCAATAAAGACTGGACCAATTTTCCTGATTCTTTTTTTGTTAAGTTCGTTATTTTTATGTGAAGGTTTTTACGAAAGAAAACTTAAGAAAAGTAAAGGGGAATATCAGGAATTAACAATGCTTTCGTTGCTGTAGCCGTTTGCTAAAAAAACAAATGACTGACGGGGTAGTCGGATACCTACAAGTGCGAAGCAGGGGCAGTCCGCTAGTTATTGATATTTTTAATGACAGATCTGTGTTTTACTGTATAGTAACTATCGTGAAATATTCAAACATAATTGTAAAAAGCGACTTATTCACTACTTTACTAACTTACGTGAGTTGAATGAAAAAAATTCAACTTATAGTTTCAAAATACCAGAAGTAGAGCTTTTTTCAAATATTTTTTTCAGTTTATTAGCTCTTACCTAGTCACTGTCTCTGTTTCTGTTTTTAAATAAACGTTGCCCCCACACTAGGATCTTTTCCTGTGTCGTGGGTGCGGTTACAAACATGCAATTTTACATACACATGACACCCAGACTAAAACAATTTGTGGATCACACAAAGAATTGTTCCGTGCGGGAATCGAACCCGCGACACGTTGCACTACAGCCAGTTGTCAGAAACCGTGCAGTCAAAAGAATGTGAAAAGAAAAAGATTTCAATTGGATTTCAAAAGAAGTTCATGTGGGGCAAGTTGCCTGACAGGCCAATTAAAACACACTTAACAAAAGCAAATTATGAAACCAAGAACCCACAACGAGAATACTAATACAAACTGATACAGTTATATACAAAGGAGACTTAGTAACCGGTCGCCATATTGCAGAATCGATTTGCCACGCACGGCTAAATCAGCTACGTGTATAGACATGAGATTTACATGCGAAACAACGAGCAGAGCCCACAATTGCTTTGTTAAATTGTCAATGAAGATACGATGGGGGTCACCAGACGAGCGACAATGATTTCCCATGATTTTATGCTAAAACTAACTTCTGCCACCGTCTTTGTTCGCGTGACTTCCAGCAGATTTTTGGTTAAAAACTGAACTATGTCCTTTCTCGAGTTCCAAACTATGTCTGTACCAAATTTCACAGAAATAGGTTCAGTAGTTTAGACGTGAAGAAAAGACAAACAGACAGACAGACAGAGTTACTTTCTCATTTATAATATTAGTTTGGATTGGTTCTGAGAGGTTTGAACATTTGGATATTATGGGATGTATTTGTTGATTATTATTGGTTTAATTGTAAGTATGGTTTTTAGATTTTTTACGTTGCCCTACACTAGGATTTTATCCTGTGTCTTTTCACAACAAACTGCACGGTTGGCGTGGCGGTTGGGCAACTGGCTGCCGTGCGTCGTGTCTCGAGTACAAATCCCGCACGGAACAACACTTTGTGTGATCTACAAATTATTGTTCCAAGGCCGGGTGTGATGTGTATGTAGAATTGTATATTTGTGAATATGGATCACACCAACGACACAGGATAAAAACCTAGTGTAGGGCAATTATAAACATCTTAAAATAATTGCTATACTTAATTGAAAAGTTTAAAGTAAATCAAACACACAATCAGTCTACATCACTGTTCATTCTAACTCTCTCATAACGGACCTCCTGGAAGAGATTTCAGAAGAAATAAGCTGTGCCTTTGTACCTAATTGTTGTATTATTTTTCTTGTCTAAGTTACTGTGTACATTAAATATGTTCATATGTTCGCAAATTTGCACTCACCCTGTACAGGTATGCCATCCCTCCACCACGATAGTGTCGCAGGAGGATTACTGCTGGCAGCGTCACAGGACAGCGTGGCTTCGATCCCCACCTTCAGCTCTTCAGGCGACACTCGGACTTTCACAGCTTCAGGGGCGACTGGTGACAAAAACACAAGTTAAGAAAAGACATCATAAAAATTGAATTTTACATGGTACTATATAGAGCTAGTCCGTCAAAATAACATTATTTAATATTTAAGGATATTTAACATTTCAGTTTTTGTTACGGTAAAGGAAAACATCGTTAGGAAACCTGGACTTATAATTTCTAAGGTTTGAAATTGTCGATACACAAAATATCCAATATTTTTTAGCTAATTTTAAGAAATAAGTTAGCTATTTGACGCATAAACTCTATGACGTCATACCTAATTCTTTAGAGTTTCATATAAATTAGATTATTATTCCTAGAGTCGCATACAAATTTCATAGAAAATTTTAGTTATTGATATTTGGATAAAATTATGGAATATGACTAGTTGGAAACTACCGTATTGCCAATCCTTGAACGACCGTAGCACGTACTCCTACCCCCTCCTTGTGTCACTTTGCTCAGCAGTGGGTAGTGGTTATAAACAATTGATTGTGTTGATGTAACACAATTTTAGACTTTATTCTTTTTTAGTAAAACTTAAAATACCTTGAAAACCCTTGCCCAATCCCTAAAATGAACCTTAAAAACATCTTATTCCGTACATTTATATTCGATTATTCTGTGCATAAGTCAGGAACTCTGAAACGTATGATATTAGGTCCTATGTGTATAGAAATTGAGAAACCACTTACGTAGTTCAAACAAGATACCAAATCTACTATATTTATGTAAGACTAAGTCTGTGCCTAACTCCCTGTACCTAGATTCGTGTCTAGAACAAACTGAGACCTAAGTCAATACTACGAGCTTCGACAGAGTACTTAGCAATTAAGATGTTCCAAGATTTTAGTCTTTAAGTATATTAATTTAAGAGTTACTTTATTTTTGATTTATTGGTTCTTATTGAAATTAAGTGATATGAAAGTATTTTTGTAATTTTTGTTAGCGTCGTATTTTGCTGTGTGAGTGAGGTTACTGGAGAACCAATTATTCTTCTCCCCCAATCCCTAATTCTCCATATTATCCTCATCCCCAAAAGGGCGGCAACGAATTCGTAATGCCTCCGTTGTTGCAGGTGTCCATAGGATGCGCTGATTGCTTACCATCAGGAAATCCGCCAGCTCATTAAGTGGCGGTTTCACTCCGGTTTTCTGTCAGGTTGTGGTATCGCTCTGGTAGAGCCGGTCCATTCGTGCTGAAGCATGGCTCTCCCAAACTTAAAACTCTCACTCTCACAATTCCCACCTTAATCAGAAATATATAATTCTAGATACTCACAATAAACATTCAAGGTCACAGTTTCAAATAGTGGGATCTCAGTGGCACTGTTGGTGGCTTCACAGCGGTACTGGGCCTGGTTGTCAGTCACATTTGTCAGGATTGAGATCTCAGCGGAGACTGAGCGTTCTACTGTCTTCGTTACTGAATGTATCTGTAATAGAAAGAGTTTGTTAGTAAATGTAAGAATATAGGATTATTAATATTGACCAAAATGGGATAAGAGACGCGATTGCATCCGCAACCCTTAAAGAACCTCCCCTAGGTTCTTTAAGGGTTGCGGATGCAATCGCGTTCAAGGGTTGCGGATGTAGCCCGGCCTGGATCAGGAGAAGGAACGTGTTGAATTTTAGTCAGTAAGAGTCTGAAATTGGCAAGAGTTTCCCTCTTACAAAAAGGAGAAAGGTAGCGACATCTACCACATACACGCAGCAACAGCACCAATCACGTTCAAGTTCCTACATCGTGGTATAACAGTTCTCAACGCGATTAGATCAGGAATAAATAATCCCGACAAGGACAGACATAACACTTGCCTGGACGGAGGATCCTCTCTTTTCTCGGAGGATGAGAAACTTTACACTCTGTTCTGTAATCCCTCTAAACCTCTAATGCCTCCAAAGTTTCCTGCCATACACTGGGTAAAATCTACTATCTACTCCTACTAAAACCAATCATTTCCCGTAACATTCCTAGATCCAGATCTTGTAGGAACAAGTCGTGATGCTGCAGGACTTAAAATTCCAACAGCATGCTGCTCTAACCGCATAATGGAACATTGGCCTTTTTGTATTTCTTATACATCTGAAAGTAAAATTATAAAAACCTTTTTTTAAGTAAGTAGGTTTTTTGAAAGAATTGTAGTAATATATACTTTTTTTACCTTTTTATCATTCTTGAACCACGTAAGCGTAGCCAGTGGGTTGCCTCCTGAAGATATGCATGACAGCCTCTGAACAGTGCCAGCAGAGAGAGTGGTTCCAGGAATGTAGCCTGTGATCATTGGAGCTGTTGGTGGATCTGAAACAATGGAACCGAAGTTAATTATTAAGTACTCATCATCTTCTATAGTTTTGTGTGATCCAGAAATAGTTGTTCCGGGTCTGGTTGTGATGTGTATGCTTGTAAACGCATCCACAACTTAAGATAAAAAAACTATAGTGGAAAAAAGTTAGTTTTCAATTAGTGTGCCCTCACAGAAAACTGGCGTGAAACAACCTCAGCGTTGTGTTTCGCTGAATGAGTGAATCCTACCCCTCCCCAAATTTCAAAATCCCCGAACCCCAAAAGGTTGGCAAAGTACTCGTAGGTCCTCCGTTGTTGCGGGTTTCTAAGTGCGGCGCTGATTGCTTACCGTCAGGTAATCCGTCTACTCGTTTGCCGACATATATACCATAAATAAAGTTTTCCATTACAGTAGCCCTAATTTTTCTCTAAACTACATCAAAAACCTCAGAGTGGTACATTGTAACGTTCAAAATTAACCTCAAGTTTAGTCCATTAACCACAATTAATTTGTTCCCTTCTAAATTACACCAATTATAGACTTAAACCTTACGGTTGAGTGGTCACCCATCAAAATACAGACCTCGTTTGTTTTACTTAACCTCGGCCTCGATCGAAAATACAATTTAAAGGAGATCTCTTTCATGGCTGCTTCGTCATTCCTTTGGCTAATTTATGTAGTTAATTATCATTAATTATCGAATTAAAATGACAAGCGTTCGGCGGGATGTCGTCGGCAACTTGCGACATTGCGATTTTGTCGCACGACTTTCATCGTGGTTTTAACGAATAAGGCTTTTTATTGAATCTTCAATGGGATGTTACGGCCATGATTACATTTGTTTATAAATATTTTAAATGCAAGTATTTCTGTAGCTTCGCAGACGAACGTTTGTCAATTTGTCAATTGTATTGTATTGTTTTTGTATATAATTAAAAACTGAATAGTTATACAATAGGCTACCTTTTCCTTTCACTTTAGTACAAACATCGACAACATACCCCATGATGTCAAATAATAACAAGCTTCAGGTTAACATAAAAATACGGATTTACTGTAAATATAATTTACCAAATACCAAAAATTTACTTTTTTGAGGTGGAGAAATCATTAATATCTTAGTGGAGACGAAGACTAACCCAGAATGAGACGAGATGGAGTGTGAGACTCTTACTGACTAAAAACAACGTTCCTTCTCCTGCTCTGGGCCGAGGTCGCGGTGACTCATTGCGCTTACCCCGCAACCCCGGCTGAACATCAGCCTTATAGGACCCCTATCTGTGGTGGTCTATTAGCTCTGTGAGTCACGGAAAGCTACTGCGTCGTACAAAAGCCATGACCTTGAGACATTGACATCTAACGACACGATTAAAAATTCTCATATTTCAGAAACATCAACTCAAGATCAACCCTAACAATTATAAATTATAAGGAGGGTCTAGTCACGGAGTGGTGATTAAAATAATGGGTACATCCCTAGTTTAGGGTTGTCACTAATTGGATCTCATGTACATGTTGGTATAACAGCGTAATTATACTGCGAGCCTCCCCTACACTGTATTAGTTTTGGAAAACGCCATTTCCGGTAAAATGGTGTACAATATCAAGATTAAAATTATAGTGGAAATTAATTGTTTTAGACAAAATATCATTTGTCATTTTATCCCAAAAGAAAAACACATCAAAATTAACGTAACAGTTTGTGCGTTGAAGGGAGGATGTTTAACAAACCTACTGACATACAGAGATGGTATTCTTTGAAAGACAATTTGCAAACAAATATTGTAAGTAAAGCCATAACTACAATACTAATTTATGAGCTTGTAAATGTACAAAATAAAATTTAATATATTTTTACAGACTCGACCGTCCCTCTTACTTTAATGCAGTAACTACATTAGATTGTAGTGTTATCAAAATAACGAAATATAGAAATCCGTCGCATCGCAGGAAGAACGACTGTTTTGTATCCCGCAACAAAATAAATCAGAAGATATTCGAAGAATAAGAAAACGTAAAAGTCGTCACATTTATCGATAACGAAGATCTAATACATATTTACAGACCTACTAACGCACAGAAAGCAACTTAGAAAACACTTTAAAACACATCCAAACTTCGTCCCACAAATTATGCAAAAACTCAGCTTAAATTCGGAATTCAAAGAACAAAAAACCTTTGGAAACGAACCAGAAACTCAGTAGGAACATAACCAGGGAAATAAGTAGAGATTTATCCAATAAATAACCGCTCACTGTATCAGATAACTATAACAGTGTTATTCCTGTCACGTGCTCCTAGCAATCAAGATTCATGCGACAACTCAGCCCGAATATACGGGACGATAATTGAGAATGGAACGCAGGTGACCCTTTTTTGTTAATTACTGTTTTTTTTTTACTTATAGATATATAGCTTTTCTTTTCACTGGTGTCGTAAGAACTAAGTGAAGGTATACATTGTTTTCTGATAAACCCAAAAATGTTTTTTTAAGTGATAGTACGCCGGATGAAGCAGATGGATTACCTGATGGTAAGCAATGAGCGATGCCCATGAACGAGGGATAATGAGTGCGATAACCTTTTGGGGACTAGGGTTTTGGATATTTAGAGATTTGGAAAAGGCCTCCAGTAACTTCAGTCATACGAAGAAGCACACCGCTGTGGTTGGTTCACGCTGGCTTTTTGTGAGGCCGCGGTATACCTCTGCGAATCCTGGCGACCCATTCGTGCCGAAGCATGGCTCACCAGTCAGTTACTAAGTTACACTCGGCCAATAGGAAAATGAGACTTTTATGACGTTCGGCTCTCTCATTGGTCTGTTCAAAGTTAACTGACCAATCAGAGCGCTTGTCGCGGTAACGTGTCCTTCGCGTTAATGTACTTTAACTTCTGCTTAATATAAAAAAGGCCGGAACATTTTGTTCTGGAAATTTTCAGCATTAATAAATATGTTTTACTTATGAATATATATTTAATATTTGGGCTATAATACAATCATGGCAGCATTAAGCTGGTTAAACATTTTGATATTCTCTTTGAAGAATTAAACACATATGTATAAAATATAAATACTTCGAACTAAGGTTTCGGCCACATTATTATTATTTTCAATCTTTTCATTTTCAATTCCACACTGTATAAGGATAACATCGTACAACAGTATTATAATACTATGTACTTTCAAAAGGAGGTTAGTCGGATAATAAATATAAAATGAAGGCCCGTTGTTTTGCCGGGCTATCGGGGCTAGTGCTATAAGGTACCTTGGCGTCGACCTTAAAGCAGTTACTGCCTGATGACACAGACAGACGGATACATAGAGTTTGATACAAGACCTCTCATCACCTTCTCCCCTTACAAAAAAATTACGTCGCTTCACTGACTCACCTGTCAATCACTCACGACTGAATCATAAAAAATTACGTATTAAATACCTAAAATAATTGAAATATAATTGAATTCTGTGATGTTAAATGTACCATTAATCAATTACAAAAGAAACCCTATTGTAAAACCGTCAGAAAACGATCGCAGCGCTACTAAACAAAATTCGTTCCCGTATGTTCGTTTGCTTAGAAAAAGTCGCGTTTCTAATTTGCGAGGGCCTCGTAAGCTGTTTTACGATGCTCTATATTAACAAGAAAGCTGTCAGCTGAATACAGGTGACATTGACTATCTGACGTTCTAGAAAATTCGAAGAAAAAAAAGACTTTTTGATAAAGGTAAAAGACTCGAAGACTTTTTTAATGATAATTTAAACGCTGTGTGTTTGAAAGATATGATCGTGATTGCTCTTTGAATTAAATCGAATAATAAATTGATTGCTATTTATTTAAAAAACGTTTTTTTTAAGATAAATTCTATCATTTTCTATCAATCTTCAAAGTTTTTTCATAGAAAAATTGGTTGTTATGTAAACCTTACTTATCTTTAAAACGAGAAAAGTTTAATTTTCTAGAATATCAGAATTGTATTTTAATAAGTGTAGGTAGAAATATTTTGTCTAAACGTAGATCAAGATATTCGATTTTCTATATCTTTATTTATTTATAAAAATTATATTAACATTACAATAAAATATGAATAAATAAATTATAGTATGTCTCACGATACTCAAAAAATATGTTTGTTTGAATGCGTTAATCTCCAAAACTACTGGATCGAATCCCAGAATTATTTATGTTGGATAGTCATTTTATCAATCAAGAAGGCTTTAAGACTTTATGCCTCGACCAAAAAGGGTCAAGCAGCTGAAAAGTGCTGAAGAACATTTTCGAAAATATGTTTCTTTCGAAACACTACAATGTTGATAAGTACTAAGATATTCTTATAAGAACGAGTTTAAACGTACTTAAAGTAGTGTTCAACATAAAATAACTGCTCAATAACGGTTTGCAATGAACAAGAAATCCCATAAGACATCTGAGTAAGTGCATTCCTTTAAGATTGACGTTTTTACATACAAATAAATATATGTATGGATGCCATTTGGTATTAAGGAAGTAACTTTGTAATACTACTCTGAGTGCATTTGCAATTGCGATTGTATTGTTACTTTTCGGCGTTGCACGAATCCATAGCCGACGCTGATTGCGTTTTTTTTGTAAGAGAGAAAATCATCAAATGACTTTTCGGGAGACTTTTCTCCTGCTCTGGGCCGAGGTCGCGGTGCCTCATTGCGCTTACCCCGCAACCCGGCTGAACATCAGCCCTATAGGGCCCCGTCTGTGGTGGTCTATTGGCTCTTTGAGGCACGCGTGGAACGCAACGCGCCGTACGCTCGTGATTGCTTACCATCAGGATATCAGCTCGTTTGCCGACCTAGCCAAAAAATACAATACCTACACAGAGATATTACAAGTATCCAAACATGTCTCCAAATAAAAAAAAATACCATTGTATTCCCAATTCTAAATGTCAACACATCCTAAAAGAACCATTGATCATTTTGCAAAAATCATTCATCTAAGTCCATCCCATAAAAATAAAAATAAAAACGGGTTTTTTCCTATAACAATGGCGATTCTAAGCGGACCGTCTTCGAAACTTCAATCGGGCATCAAACACGTTACTCAGCCTTGGTATAGCGGCCATTAATCATTTTGATAACAAGATTATCCTTTGGGAACATCGGATTGTAACTCGGAATAAAATATTGAATTTGTTTTGATGAAATTATGTATCAATATTAAATTTTATTATTGTATTAGTAGCCTAGTTCATAAATGCCTCTCACAACCAAAATGTCTTGGGTTCAATCCCTGAGTTGAGTAAATTTTTCTAGAAGAAAATCTTAGTATTAACATGGCTCCTGGATAGAAATAGATTCACTCTTGATAGTTTGCGGGTCAAAGAGCAATGATTGACCGTGGCTACGAATAGGTAAAAGAAAGGTTGGTTTTTAGTCAGTAAGAGTCTGACACGGCTGGCATGGCTGGCTGATTATATTAAAAGAAGCTTAACTGGGATATGTTGTGTCTATCTTCCTATATTGCCTAGAATTACAGTCACTAACAGAATAAATACTGTTGAATAAAAATTAACGCACTTATTAATAACAAAATATGCACTAATATCAAACGAAAAAATACCACTAAAATCTACATAAACAACGATATTTTACAACGAAACTTTACAACGTAATATAACGATAAAAAATCTATAAAAAAACACCATTTAAAAACTCATATAAACCGCGTTTTATCTTTCGAAATATAAACACGACCAATACACAAAAGTACATTAAAAGGCTAGAATTTCAGGGTTGTACTGCAACAGTTATAGCCTCACTTGTGCACGAATAGGGTTGTCACCGCACCGAGCTAACAGTTGAGCAATTAATTCGCACGATGTCCACAGACTCATTACTTTAATGAGGGGAACGTGCTGGACGCGACAACCCTACATATAAGGGGTGTGTGCAAAACAGTTTTAATTTTAGTAATGGCTTTTTTATTGTTACTTGTGCTGATAGATATAAAGTGGTATGCGGTAAGATTATTGTTGATTGATTAATAATAGAGTCATAAAAACAGGCAAAGTCAGGTAGCTATCGTTTTAGTTTATAAACGAGTAGTTAACGTTGTCGTCTCTTCTAGATCGGCTATGCAACATGTGTATTCGATATTCCTGCACAGAAAATTTTTTTATGTGGTCCCTAACTTGTTTTTCCGTATCTGTTTGAAATGTGTATGTTTCCAAACGCACCCACGACACAGGAGTAAGTCATAGAGTTTGAAAATAGAGAGAATTAAGAGTAAGAGAGTTTGAAAATAGAGAGAAATTAATAACAATGTTTTAATTCGAAATAAAATACCTAATTTATCCTCGTTGTTAGGTGTCCACGGGCAGCGCCGATTGCTTACCATCAGGTAATCCGTCATCTCGTTTCCTGACTTATACTTTATATACATAAAAAAAATCTCTCTATGCCATTTCACAAATTAATTTGAAAGCTATCGACAATATTGCATACTACCCACTATTCAAGTGGTATTAACAAAATCTCTTCGTACCAACTTCAAAAAAAAACCGTCACAAGATTATTTGAAAAACCCTTCACTATTGAAGTCTAAATAAAACATCATGTATACAAAAAGAGTCGTGTCTGTGTGTGTTTGTACGTTCTAGGGGTGAATAGCGCGTATTATCGTATGGTTCACCCCAAAAGGGGGTTAGTAAACAACATATGAATAGAGTTTTTTGCATCGTCACCTTGGCAGTGGCCTAAAAATTTTTTGGCTTCATGTTTTGGCCTGAGAGCGGTAAAATGGAGTTTCTAGGTAACAGGTAAATAAACGTTAAGTAAAGAAAGAAAAGAAAGAAAAATAATTTATTTGCACCGCAAAAATTAAAAAAAAGACATATTAGGTACAACTTATATGGAGAGTATGCACGGCGCAAAAAGGCCAAGTGCTCAGCTAAAATGCCGTGACCCGAGAGTCTAGAGTATAGAGTGTTCATTATACATATTAAAGTTGATTTAATATTTATTGATGAGTTAATTAATTTATGGTTAAATGGGATTAAGTTTGGTTGTGTAGCTATCTATGGTTGAAAGTATTGAAAAAAAAAATAATGAAAATTCTGTGGTTACACGGAAGGCACCAGTTTTTCATGTATGAAAGTGCTTTTTACCAAAGTACTTTTTTCGAGTTATATGTAGATACATTCTAAGATTATATAGGCACTACTGATATACGGTGAAGGAAAGCATGCTGAGGAAACCAGGACTAATAATTAAGTTTCAAATCCCCAACCGGCTTTGAGCAAGCATGGTGATTAATGCTTTAAACCATCTCCGTTTGAGAACAAGTCTTTGATCAGCAGTTTGCACTTATAGGCTGATGATGAATCAATCCCTTTGTAGCCTAGATTTGGGTCAAAATCTACACGAAATAATTAACAGAGTTTAGTATCAAGTCGCAAATCTCTCTAGTTTAACTCTGTAATGAAGATAAGGAATATCTATGTATGTGCAGTTTATGTTAGAAGTATGTATGTAATTTGGTTTTGCCTATCTTGCTGGCCAGCGGTCCTTTAGCACTTCTGTACCGTTTAGCTGTTTTACGAAGAAAGTTTTATTAGACGAAGCGGGGTGTAATGATTAATTGATTTTTGTTTTTATTACGAATACATAAGGTTGATTGTTGAAGGTCGATTGAAAAATCATTAATAGATAAAAAACGTCAACTGTTCAAGACTCAATCAATACGAACAATAAGAAGACAAGAAACTTTGCCTGATGGTAACCAATTGGCGCCGCCCTCCGTCAACACCAGAGAAGTTAAGAGATTGTCGCCGCTACTGGCCAGGCGTTGACTTTTTAGACAGTAAAAGAGACTGTGGAATGGGAAGGATTGGGCCTCCGGTTACCTAACTCAAACAGTGAGTCACAACGCTGTGGTTGTTTCACTCCGATCTTTCGTCAAGTCGTTGTATCACCCTGCCGAAGCATATTCGTGCCGAAGCATGACTCTCTCACACTTTTACAAAAATACTGTCATCAAAGATGTAATGACCATTTTCCATTGGAGAAGCCAAAATCGCCCACCCCTTTGCCTTAGACCAGCTCCTTAAGACATGATTAATGTATAGAAGATAACAAGTCGACCACCACACACATTGAATGAGAGACGACTTGTATGGTTGTCTCGCCAACAAGACCTTCAAAGACCTAGATTTTTTAACTTTAGGACCTAAATTTCATTTTACAAAAATATAATTTTAATTTCAATAACACAAACAAAACCGCTGCTTTAAACTAGTCTCTTAATTCAACGAACTACTCGTAATTACAAAGAACGCAACGGAACCCTGTTACTTTGAAGTCAATTCCTTTATACAATTAGTTGGTAATTTAAATAGAACAAAACATATATATATTTTGTATGTACGTTCGTAAATGACAGTCGCCATGTTACATAATAATATAGGTAATGTACATAATACTATTCAGGTCAAAGGTCCGTTCGAGAGATGAGCGAGAAATGAACGAAAATAAGTGTGGGAGAGCCATGTTTCAGCTCGACCGGATTGATATCACGGCCTCACTGAAAACCGGCGTGAAGCAACATTTACGTTGTGTTACGCTGTTTGAGTGAGGTTACCGGAGGCCCAATACTTACCCTCTCCACAACCTCAATCCTCAAAGCCCCTATCCTTAAATCTCCAATAACCAACAAGAGGCCGGAATGGCACTTTTCGTTAGTCCTTTGGTATTGCGACTGTCCATGGGCAGTTTATGTATTTAAGGAATAAAAAAAAGTGAAAATAAGTTTGCAAATGACAAAACGGCACAAGTACCAATATACGTTTAAGACATATAAAACCTTATTTATACTAAACGAGAACATAAAGCGGAAGATCAAACAGCCCACAGCGAAATCTGTTCATTCGTACCAGAGCACAGGCATTTAATGTCGCGACCTGACCTCAAATTCCAAAATGGCGTCGAATTAAATATTCAAACGCTACTAGTGTTATGTTAATGAACGAAATATAGCTTCTATTGCTGTGACAAAAAGGTATATTATTGCTAGAAAGACCTATGTAAACTTTGTCCAGTTTTGTGTAAGGGTAAATATAACAATGTACCTAACGTAAGGGTTGTTTTCTTGGAAGTGTCAAAAGACGAGTTAAAATGGCCGCTAGTTGAATTAAATTTAAGTTGGGGAAAGTGTTATTGGATTTTGTATACAAAGACATTCATTTAAATACAAAAGCACTAGTAGTAAATCATTAAAAAGAGTTGACTGCACGGTTGGTGCGGTGGCTGGGCAACTGGCTGCCGTGCAACGTGTCGCGGGTTCGATTCCCGCACGGAACCACTCTTTGTGAGATCCACAAATTGTTGTTCCGGGTCTGGGTGTCATGTGTATGTGAAATTGTATGTTTGTAACCGCACCCACGACACAGGAGAAATTCCTAGTGTGGGACAACAATTTTTATAAAAAAAGAAAAGTTAGGAATTGTTTTTGACTTCATAGCAAAAGGACGACATAATTATGTATAACATATTTCACAATTTGGACTTTCCCAACTGCAGAAAAAAGGAAATAATAATATAGCTGCTAAGTAATAATAATATTATTCACAACTCGCGTGCTATTTAGTTCACATATTCAGAACATGTCTACCACAAGAGTTTTCCCAAAATTTTTCACAAACACATAACAGCCAGCTTCCTCAATCCGCAAAAACGTAGTGCGTAAACTTTAAAACCGCAAAAAAAGAAAAAGCATAAATCCGTCGCTAGACAGAGATGGGAAATACGGAAGTTGAGAGAGTGAAAGAGATAGCGGCATCAGTTTAAAAAGCTGTTTAATCCAAGCTAGAGTTTATCGCGTTAGAGCCAACGGCAAAAAAACTGGGAGTAATGAATTTACGACGAATGGTTCCGTACAAAAAAGAGAGTTTTAAAACGATTGGCTTTCGGAAGTTTGTTTAATTCTAATTGGCTTTCTCCATAAATATTTGAGAGGAAGAAAATAATAGGGGGCTGTGAAGGATAGATTTATCAGAACCCCTTTTCGCGATTTTACGTCGATGTAATCATACTTTTAAATCCAGAAGACTCTATTGGTTTGTGTTTCAAAGTAAGTTTCTTACACTTAAACATCAATACCGTTTTTTTTTTTTTTTTTACTTTTTGACAGATAACTAGGGACTCGCTCGGCTCCCACGCAAGCTGGTACTAAAATTCTCCACTATTTAATGTATGTAATTATACAAATAAAAAATCCTCTTCAAACACTCTATCTATTAAATAATCTGTAGCTGTTAATTTAAAAGCTTTAAGCATACATAGGGATATAGGGACAGAAAAATCGACTTTTTTAATACTCTACTAGCTACTCTCGCGCGGTTTCACCCGCTGCTCGTCTCCATTTGATCTTAGCGTGATGTTTTATAGTCCTCAGGAACATTCTAGCTATCTATCAGTGAAAGAATTTTTGTCATCCGACCAGCGGTTCCAAAGATTACGCCCTACATACAAACTTACAAATTTTACCTCTTTACAATATTAGCATGGATATAGTGCTATTAAAGCTGAAACCCATTATAAAACTCACAAAAACGCCTACAAAAATCCCGACCATAAACAACACAAAAGTTAATAGCAGCATTTTGATCGATGAAACAGCGAGTAAAGCGTATACATTTTTAACGAGAACCAAAACTAATTCATCACCGTCAAATCACTCCACCTGCCCCGCCGCTCAATATATTATGTATGTATCAAAAACTACCACAATGGATTCAACTGTTTCCTTGCTGAACCCAAATCGGCAGCGGGCGTGACGTCAGCTGTGTTTCCGGTACCGCAAATATTATGATAATTCGACCGGACGTATCCGCTGTTGTTCATATATCCATAGTTTCATCATTTTATGTTTAATATGTTATTTGCCCGGTAACCGGGTACCCGGGTGTCCGAGTTGGATGTGTTCCATAGTGGCCCGGATTTTACGGTTAAATGGCTTTCTACGTTTTTAGATATGTTTTGTATTATTTAAGTCACAAAATGTTTTGTTTATTGTATTCTGTCGCAGTTCTTATGTAATACTAGCTGTGCCCGCGACTTTGTTCGCGTGGTTGTCGAAAACAAAACAACATCGTTTAGATAACAGTAGGCTATACACATATAAACTCCACTCAAGAAAGAATTTTTTTTTGCTATTTAAGATCCTGACTGTTGTATATATTTATTTAGTAATATTGGTATAGCTGATTACGTTAATGCTTCCCTATATACTATCTTAGCGGTGGAATTACCCGGAGCATATACAAAAAGGTTGTTTGGGTTGCTAACACGTGATAGAGAAACATAGAGTCCGCCGTGTGAAAAACAATCAAAAGTATGGTCATGGGGTAACTGACC